GCTTTTACAGATGTCCAGTAAAAAAATTGTAAAAAATTGTCAAATTTCGTCATAAATTTCGACCAAAATGTATTCTGCTCCGTGTCTTCGCTAAAAAAATCCCAATACGTGTAAATGAATTGGTTTACATGAAAGTTATAACGTCTACAAATGGCGGTATAGATACTGGGATCCAGCGACTTATAGCGGGACTGCGGCGGGCGTTCTGACATGGGGGGGGGACTGACTTGGTGTCACTGACATCCCCAGTGACACTAATACAGTGATCAGTGCTAACAATAAGCATGACACTGTACTAATGGCACTGGGCAGGAGGGGGGGTTAAAATGTGGGGTGATCAAAGGGTTAACTGTGTGAGGTTTTGCGGTGTGTGTTTCACTGTAAGCACACTGCTTTGTATGGCCGTGCTATGCAGAGCCATACAAAGCAGTGTGCAGGAGCTGACAGGGGAGAGCTCTGTGTTGTTCATATACAGGTCTCTCCCCTGTCGGACATACTCATCGATCGCGCGGGTGCCGGAGAGTAATCACTGGCTGGATAAAAGCTCACCAAGATGCCGGCGGCACAGCGCAGCGCTCCTGCAGCCCAGTGGTGGGAGGAGCCTCATTGGCCATACACGTGTAGATTGTCACACGAAAATATTCGTAAGAAAAGTCGAATGAAAATTCTTTGAACATTCGATGAATGGACGAACGTCATTCAAAATTGTCTTTTTTGCTTTTAACATTCGATTTAAAATGAATGTCATTTCTGAACGATCACCACATCCACTGGCCGAAAATTCGTTTGATCGAGAAAAGTTTTCCTTCCTGCCCCTTTGAATTTTCCCGTCACGGAGGTCGAAAACAAACATCGATTTGACCCCCACTAACAATTAGAAAATCAAACGAATATTCTTGAAACGAAAATTCTTGAATGAAAATCTATACGTGTATGGCCAGCTTAAGGCTGGCCATACACGTGTAGATTTTCTGCCGAGAATATTCATAAGAAAAGTCGAATGAAAATACTTTGAATGTTCGATGAATGGACGAATCTCGTTCGAAAATTGTCTTTTGCTTTTAACATTCGATTTTAAAATGAATGTCATTTCTGAACGATCACCACATCCACTGGCGAAAAATTTGTTTGATCGAGAAAAGTTTTCCTTCCTGCACCTCGAAATTTCCCGTCACTTCTGTTGAAAATGAACATCGATTTGACCCCCGCTAACGCCCCAGTACACACTATAAATAAGCAGACGAACAATTGTCCGGTTTTCCTCGATCTTTCACAGCAGGTCGACACTGAGGAGGGAAGTAACTGAACGAATGTTCTTGTACGACGAAGGATTTTTTTTGGTTATCGTTTCTGATCACGCACAGTCTTTCGTATCCGATTTTTCTTGTACGAAAACCGTTCACATTCAAAGAAAATCGTTTTGTTCTCGTACGAGAAAACATTTGGAGTTTGTTCCTTCAGAAATTTTCGTTTGGAAAGTGTGAATCGGGGGTTGAAGGTCGAGTACACATATACGAAAATCGAGCCATCGCGCCTCGTGCGGAATTGTTCTTCCGGTTCCTCATAGTGTGTGTCCCACTTTACCATCAGAAAGTCAAACGAATATTTTTGAAATGAAAATTCTGGAAGGAAAATGTATATGTGTGTGGCCAGCTTTAGAAAGACGTGATCCTGCTGCTGTACGGCCACCAGATCGATTCCAATCCCCCCCTCCCCCATAGCATGACTGTTCCCAACATGTTTCCTGGGCTCCACTATGCCACCTGTGGGTTCAGGACCAGCACAGCGGGTGTCACCAGGTAGAGGGGAGGGAGACTAGCGAACGTCCATTCCCTGATCTCCCCCCTCAGGTAGACGGTAATCAGAGGCCACGTGTATAATGTCTTCCAATCTTGTTGAAGAAAACCTGCTATACAAAATGTTATCACAGGCTCCCTATGTGATAGCACAGTGGTCTCCAAACTGTGGCCCTGGGGCCGAATGTGGCCCTTTGCTTGCTTTTATCCTGCCCTTGGGCCATTATTACCCCCCCCCCCCCACTCACTGTCAGCAACAGTGGGGCATAGTTCCTACCACTGACACCGACATCGAGGCACTATTCCTCCCACCGACACTGACAATGGGGCACTGTTCCTCCCACCAACACCAATGACAGGGACTATTCCTCCTACCGACACCAATGATGGGGCACTATTCCTCCCACTGACACCAATGATGGGGCACTATTCCTCCCACTGACACCAATGATGGGGCACTATTCCTCCCACTGACACCAATGATGGGACACTATTCCTGCCACTGACACCAATGATGGGGCACTATTCCTCCCACTGACACCAATGATGGGCACTATTCTGCCACTGACACCAAAGACGAGGCACTTCCTTCCTCCTCCCACTGACACCAATGATGGGGCACTATTCCTTCCACTGACACCAATGATGGGGCACTATTTCTCCCACTGACACCAAAGATGGGGCACTATTCCTCCTACTGAGCACCAATGATGGGGCACTATTCCTTCCACTGATACCAATGATGGGGCACTATTCCTCCCACTGACACCAATGATGGGGCACTATTCCTCCCACTGACACCAATGATGGGGCACTATTCCTCCCACTGATACCAATGATGGAGCACTATTCCTCCCACTGACACCAATGATGGGGCACTATTCCTTCCACTGACACCAATGATGGGGCACTATTCCTCCCACTGATACCAATGATGGGACGCTATTCCTCCCACTGACACCAATGATGGGGAGCTATTCCTCCCACTGACACCAATGATGGGGCGCTATTCCTCCCACTGACACCAATGACGGGGGCACTATTCCTCCCACTGATACCAATGATGGAGCACTATTCCTTCCCACTGACACCAATGACGGGGCACTATTCCTCCCACTGACACCAATGATGGGACACTATTCCTCCCACTGATACCAATGATGGGGCACTATTCCTCCCACTGACACCAATGATGGGACACTATTCCTCCCACTGACACCAATGATGGGGCACTATTCCTCCCACTGACACCAATGATGGGGCACTATTCCTCCCACTGATACCAATGATGGGACACTATTCCTCCCACTGACACCAATGATGGGGCACTATTCCTCCCACTGATACCAATGATGGAGCACTATTCCTTCCACTGACACCAATGACGGGGCACTATTCCTCCCACTGATACCAATGATGAGACACTATTCCTCCCACTGACACCAATGATGGGGCACTATTCCTCCCACTGATACCAATGATGGGGCACTATTCCCCCCACTGACACCAATGATGGGGCACTATTCCTCCCACTGACACCAATGATGGGGCACTATTGCTCCCACTGATACCAATGATGGGGCACTATTCCTCCCACTGATCACCAATGATGGGGCACTATTCCTCCCACTGACACCAATGATGGGGCACTATTCCTCCCACTGATACCAATGATGGGGGACTATTCCTCCCACTGACACCAACGATGGGGCACTATTCCTCCCACTGACACCAATGATGGGGCACTATTCCTCCCACTGATACCAATGATGGGGACTATTCCTCCCACTGACACCAACGATGGGGCACTATTCCTCCCACTGACACCAATGATGGGGCACTATTCCTCCCACTGACACCAATGATGGGGCACTATTCCTCCCACTGATACCAATGATGGGGGACTATTCCTCCCACTGACCACCAATGATGGGGCACTATTCCTCCCACTGACACCAATGAAGGGGCACTACTTCTCCTACCAACAGCAATGATGGGGCACTATTCCTCCCACTGACACCAATGACGGGACACTGTCAACTCCAACTGACCCCAACACATTTTCTACTCCCGCTGGACACAGTCCGGCCCTCGTGAAGTCTGATGGACAGTAAACTGGTTCTTCATCTAGAAAGTTTGGAGACCCCTGTGATAGCATTAAAGGTAAGTGACCCCCTCCATCCTGAAACATGTACCGCCCCCCCAGTGTAGACACATATTTATTTATTTATTTCAGGTACTTATATAGCGCATCAATTTACGCAGCACTTTACATATATATTGTACATTCACATCAGTCCCCCCGACCCTCAAGGAGCGTACAATCTAAGGTCCCTAACTCACATTCATACATACACATACTAGGGACAATATAGACAGGATCCAATTCACCTACCAGCATGTCTTTGGAGTGTGGGAGGAAACCGGTGTACCCGGAGGAAACCCACGCAGGCACAGGGAGAACATGCAAACTCCAGGCAGGCGGTGCTGTGGTTGGGATTTGAACCAACGACCCGAGTACTGCCAGGTGGAAGTGCTAACCACTCAGCCACTGTGCTGCCCCTATGAACACGAGTGCATGTATCGGGGGAGGGGCTATGTATACAGATGGCGATTACATTCCACCTTATATATCATCGCACGCGCCACACCGAGAGCCATATATCTAAGGTGGTCAGTCGGGGGTCACTATACACCGAGGGTGTCAGACGCAACCTCAGCTGCATCAGCCCTCAAAGGATCAGCTGTATCTGTAAGACTAGATGTCCAGAGCACCCCCCCCCCCCTTACATCACATGTCAAGAGCTCCCCCAAAATCAGAAATCAAGAATCCCCTACCCTTCCTTACATCCCACGCACCCCCCTTACCTTGTGCTGCAGGGAAGAAGCTGGGGGCGAAGCTGGGAAGCAGAAAGTGCAGGGTCTGGAGGAGGACCAGAGGAGGGCTGGAGTTTGCTAAATGTTGAGACCGGGGGAGGCCAAGATGAGGGGGTGCTGCAGCTGCGCGGAGAGATACAGGATCTGTCGGAGGAGTTCTGTCCTCCTCTCTGATGACTGCAATGACGGGGGAGGGGGAATCAAAAGGGGTTCCGCAGCTGCAGGAGAGAAGTGCACCCCCCCATACCTTGTGCTGTAGGGAAGAAGCTGGGGGGCAGAGCTGGGAAGCAGAAAGTGCAGGGTCTGGAGCAGGGGCGGACTGACAACTCATGGGGCCCCCGGGCAATAGGGGATCATGGGGCCCCTGTGTCTTTGCCCAAACTCAAAAAAGCCTATGAAAAAGGTACCAGGGGCATCTCATGGGGCCCCCTACTGACCCCGGGCCCTCGGGCAGTGCCCGAGTTTCCAAGTGGTCAGTCCGCCCCTGGTCTGGAGGAGGACCGGAGGAGGGCTGGAGTTTGCTAAATGCTGAGACCAGGGGAAATGGAGACGAGGGGGTGCTGCAGCTGCACAGAGAAATGCAAGATCTGTTGGAGGAGTTCTGTCCTCCTCTCTGCTGATGACTCCAAAGACGGGGGGGGGGGGGGTACCGCAGCTGCAGGAGAGAAGTGCACCCCCCATACCTTGTGCTGCAGGGAAGAATTTGGGGGCGGAGCTGGGAAGCAGAAAGTGCCGGGTCTGGAGGAGGGCTGGAGTGTGCTAAATGCAGAGACCAGGGGAGGCCAAGATGAGGGGGTGCTGCAGCTGCACAGAGAGACGCAGGATCCATCAGAGGGGTTCTGTCCACCTCTCTGGTGACGGGGGGGGGGGGGGGGGGGGGGTGGTTGGCGCAGCTGCAGGAGAAGTGCGAGGGCCACATATAATGGCCCAGCAGGCCGGATTCCGCAGCGGGCCTTGTGATTGACACGTGTGCTCTACACTGATGACCTGTGAGCGCCACCTATGGACAATATAGGGCAGCGCAGTTTGTCTGTTTCACTGGCGCATGCAATGTTAAGGCTTGACATGTTGGGCATCTACTTACTCGACACAACCTCACCTTCAGAATAAATGATCGTTCTGGCCAGTGGAATGAATGACACCCAAAGCGATGGATGCGCCTAAACGCACCTAAATGCATTACACACGTTTACAGCATCGAACACTTTTTCTACCAAAATGCTGCTGCCAGGAGAGGGTTCTAGGAGGGATGGCAGAACAGCCTGTGTACAGCAGACATGTCACAAAAGAGGTCTTAAAGTGATGTGACCGGCCTCAGATGATTCACAGAGATAGAACAAATCATCCTACATAAGTTGTACCTGTTTATCTGCAACATTTCCCCCTACGGCCATTCAATTTGCAGAATGTACACAGGATCTCTCAGCTCTGAAAAGCAGGGGGAGGGGAGCTGAATTTAATTTACATTCAGGGAGGAGAGCTCTGAGAGTGGACTGGAGGGAAGGGACCCCCCCCCCCCCCCCCACCACTTCACACAGACACACAGAGACATGGAGCTGAGGCTGTCAATCACAGGCTGTGCCCCCCCTGTCACCATTTTTCTCTTGGTGTCAGGAAAACTTATCAGAAGTGACTCAATGCAGATAGTAGAGGAAGGAGATAGCCGACAGAGATGACACTCTGGACTGAGACAAGTACACACTATAGAGGGATGTGCTTTGTTCATATTTCATGTCTACGGTTTACAACTAAAATCGTTTTACCACTTGCAGTGCCCCCCCCCCATACGTACTTACCTGAATCCCACATCGATCCAGCACTGTGCCTGGCTGCAGCTCTTCTCTACCCTCTTCCTGGTCTCAGAGACCCAGGCAGCAGTGGGAGCCACTGGCTGTCAGTCAAACCCAGTGTGCAGGGAGCAGGGGGGTGGGGCTAAGCCATGCTGTGTGTGTCTATGGATGCACACAGCCCGGTTCAGGAGCGCACCCTCACAGATGCCCCCATAGCACATGGCTTGCTATGGGCGCACACGCAGGAGAGGAGGAGCGGACAGTGCAGGCGGGGAACTCCAGAAGAGGGGGTTGTGTGCAATATGATTGCACAGAGCAGGTAAGTATGACGTCTTTATTACTTCAAAAAAAAAAAAAGAGGGTAACGATCACTTTAATATCACATGACATATAATAAGTCGATCGACTACCTTTTTATTCTCTGCTCTCAGAAAATAAGGAATATCGGGGGTTTACCTAATCTTCAGGCCTATAATGTGCATTCGGAACCTCCCTGGCGGTGAAATGGTTAAAAGGGAATTTTATTGGCCAATCCGATTTTCAGCTTTTCCACCACATTAATGCAATGCTGTCTGGGGCTCATTTATCGGCCCCAACAGTTCATTTTTAGGACGAATAAAAAATAAAGAAAGTATCAACTCCACTGTGTTCAGTAAGAAAAGCTGAAACATTGTTACAGACGTCATTCCTGTAGGTGGCCATACACTATACAAGCTGATTGGACAATCCCCCACAGATCTGCCATCACCCATGCAGTGTAAGGGCCTGCCTGATTGGGTAATGATTGACTCGATAGTTTAGCTGCGTCCTCGTATTCTACCGATTTGGAACATACTATGGAGATGGTACAGAGCTTGTACAATCAGATTGTAGTGTGTCAGGGCAGTCTTAGACAGCAGTACATGACTATGGACAGGCATCTATCAACATTTAGACGGGCCATACAGTTTGCAATCTGATTGTACAATCTCTTCTAGATTTACCAAAACGATGTAATGTGACACCGAACCTAAACAGGAAGCTGGTCAGAGACTACAGGCTTATTACATGAGATGGTCAGAGAGTGTAGACATGCCACAGGAGCTGGTCACAGACTACAGGAGTGTTACCAGAGATGGTCAGAGACTACAGGCGTGTTACCAGAGATGGTCAGAGACTACAGGCGTGTTACCAGAGATGGTCAGAGACTACAGGCGTGTTACCAGAGATGGTCAGAGACTACAGGCTTGTTACATGAAATGGTCAAAGAGTGTAGACATGCCACAGGAGCTGGGAGCAGACTACAGGCTTGTTACAATTGATGGTCAGAGACTACAGGCTTGTTACCAGAGATGGTCAGAGACTACAGGCTTGTTACCAGAGATGGTCAGAGACTACAGGCTTGTTACCAGAGATGGTCAGAGACTACAAGGTTGTTACAAGAGATGGTCAGGGACTACAGGCTTGTTACAATAGATGGTCAGAGACTACAGGGTTGTTACAAGAGATGGTCAGGGACTACAGGCTTGTTACAAGAGATGGTCAGAGACTACAGGCTTGTTACAAGAGATGGTCAGAGACTACAGGCTTGTTACCAGAGATGGTCAGAGACTACAGGCTTGTTACAAGAGATGGTCAGGGACTACAGGCTTGTTACAAGAGATGGTCAGGGACTACAGGCTTGTTACAAGAGATGGTCAGAGACTACAGGCTTGTTACAAGAGATGGTCAGAGACTACAGGTTTGTTACAAGAGATGGTCAGAGACTACAGGGTTGTTACAAGAGATGGTCAGAGACTACAGGCTTGTTACAAGAGATGGTCAGAGACTACAGGCTTGTTACAAGAGATGGTCAGAGACTACAGGGTTGTTACAAGAGATGGTCAGGGACTACAGGCTTGTTACCAGAGATGGTCAGAGACTACAGGCTTGTTACCAGAGATGGTCAGAGACTACAGGCTTGTTACAAGAGATGGTCAGGGACTACAGGCTTTGTTACAATAGATGGTCAGAGACTACAGGGTTGTTACAAGAGATGGTCAGAGACTACAGGCTTGTTACAAGAGATGGTCAGAGACTACAGGCTTGTTACAAGAGATGGTCAGGGACTACAGGCTTGTTACAAGAGATGGCCAGAGACTACAAGGTTGTTACAAGAGATGGTCAGGGACTACAGGCTTGTTACAATAGATGGTCAGAGACTACAGGGTTGTTACAAGAGATGGTCAGGGACTACAGGCTTGTTACAAGAGATGGTCAGAGACTACAGGCTTGTTACAAGAGATGGTCAGAGACTACAGGGTTGTTACAAGAGATGGTCAGAGACTAACAGGCTTGTTACAAGAGATGGTCAGGGACTACAGGCTTGTTACAAGAGATGGTCAGGGACTACAGGCTTGTTACAAGAGATGGTCAGAGACTACAGGCTTGTTACAAGAGATGGTCAGAGACTACAGGTTTGTTACAAGAGATGGTCAGAGACTACAGGGTTGTTACAAGAGATGGTCAGAGACTACAGGCTTGTTACAAGAGATGGTCAGAGACTACAGGCTTGTTACAAGAGATGGTCAGAGACTACAGGGTTGTTACAAGAGATGGTCAGGGACTACAGGCTTGTTACAAGAGATGGTCAGGGACTACAGGCTTGTTACAAGAGATGGTCAGAGAGACTACAGGCTTGTTACAAGAGATGGTCAGAGACTACAGGGTTGTTACAAGAGATGGTCAGGGACTACATGGTTGTTACAAGAGATGGTCAGAGACTACAGGCTTGTTACAAGAGATGGTCAGAGACTACAGGGTTGTTACAAGAGATGGTCAGGGACTACACAAGCTTATTACAATTGATGGTCAGAGAGTGTAGACATGCCACAGACTATAGGCTTGTTACAAGAGATGGTCAGAGAGTGCAGACATGCCACAGGAGCTGGCCGCAGGCTATAGGCTTGTTACAAGAGCTGATTACTGACGCGTTTCGAGGTTGTACCTCTTCCTCAGAGCCAAACGCATCAAACCATCAGCTATCCAGAGGTCTACAGTCCCCCACCAGACAATCCTTCAGGGGTATTGGACCACAATGCATTTCTTTTGACATGCTCTCCATTTGATTTTATTTCTCTTGTGAGTATTTTACTTTTTCTCAATACATTTCATTTTTAAAAGCAATGCACTAGGCCCGTGTGCCCTCTTTTTGTCTCTTCATATATTGTTACAAGAGCTAGTCAGAGACTACAGGGTTGTTACAAGAGATGGTCAGAGACTACAGGCTTGTTACAAGGTTACAAGAGATGGTCAGAGACTACAGAGTTATTACAATTGATGGTCAGAGAGTGTAGACATGCCACAGCAGCTGGTCGCAGACTATAGGCTTGTTACCAGAGATGGTCAGAGACTACAGCCTTGTTACAAGAGATGGTCAGAGACTACAGGCTTGTTACAATAGATGGTCAGAGACTACAGGCTTGTTGCAAGGTTACAAGAGATGGTCAGAGACTACAGGCTTGTTGCAAGGTTACAAGAGATGGTCAGAGACTACAGGCTTGTTACAAGGTTACAAGAGATGGTCAGAGACTACATGCTTATTAGAATTGATAGTCAGAGAGTGTAGACATGCCACAGCAGCTGGTTGCAGACTATAGGCTTGTTAGAAGAGATGGTCAGAGATTACAGGCTTGTTACAAGAGACGGTCAGAGAATACAGGCTTGTTACAAGAGACGGTCAGAGACTACAGGCTTGTTACAAGGTTCCAAAAGATGGTCAGAGACTACAGGCTTTTGCAAGGTTACAAGAGATGGCCAGAGACTATAGGCTTGGCAAAAGTGATGATCAGAGAGTGAAGACATGCCACAGGAGCTGGCCAGAGAATACAGGCTTATTACAATAGATGGTCAGAGAGTGTAGACATGCTATAGAATATGGTCAGAGACTATAGGATTAAGAGTAGTCAGAAACTACGGGCTTGTTACCAGAGATGGTGAGAGACTACAGGCTTGTTACAAGAGATGGACAGGGACTACAGGCTTGTTACAAGAGATGGTCAGGGACTACAGGCTTGTTACAAGAGATGGACAGGGACTACAGGCTTGTTACAAGAGATGGTCAGGGACTACAGACGTGTTACCAGAGATGGTCAGAGACTACAGCTTTGTTACCAGAGATGGTCAGAGACTACAGGCTTGTTACCAGAGATGGTCAGGGACTACAGGGTTGTTACCAGAGATGGTCAGAGACTACAGGCTTGTTACCAGAGATGGTCAGGGACTACAGACGTGTTACCAGAGATGGTCAGGGACTACAGACGTGTTACCAGAGATGGTCAGGGACTACAGACGTGTTACCAGAGATGGTCAGAGGCTACAGGCTTGTTACCAGAGATGGTCAGAGTCTACAGGCTTTTTTTTAAAAAAATGAGCATTTCATACTACTCTATCCACTCCAAATCCTAACCTCAAAAACGCATCGGAAAACGTGTGTCACCATCAGGGGCGGACTGACAACTCATGGGGCCCCCGGGCAATAGGGGATCATGGGGCCCCTGTGTCCTTGCCTAAACTCAAAAAAAGCCTATGAAAAAGGTACCAGGGGCATCTCATGGGGCCCCTACTGACCCCGGCCCTCGGGCAGTGCCGAGTTTCCAAATGGTCAGTCCGCCCCTGGTCACCATGCATCAAATGTCAGAGCCCACAGGAACACGTCACTGCGCACACGCCTAGATCCACATGGATCCTTCCTATCAGTCAATGACAAGACACAATGGTGAGACTGACTACAACCAGAAACAGGGAAAAATCTGCTGTTTGTAGAAACCAATCAGCTTCCAGCTTTTATTATCAAAGCTTAACTGAACAAGCCGAAGCTAGAAGATAATTGGCTGCCATCAGATTCTGAGTGCTCCAGTTTTAGTAAATCTCTCCCCCACTGCAATAAATACCCCTGAGGGGACGATCTGCTCTAAAATCTCAGACCAAAACCCCCCCCCCCCACCGCTGGGGCGACCGGCTGCGTCCACGTGTGACCATAGTGACATCAGCTCGTCAGTCGCCCTGCCCATGTATACCGCAATGCATTACATCGCAGAAGTCAGGTGCGGATCCAGGCTCGCTCCCAACCGCAACAAATGAAGATTGGAAGATCGCACGCCGTGTCCGCGTCTCCGTGCACATGACCGGCTACAGAATGATTCATAAAACCATCGGCACACGCAAACACACACTCACACACACACACGAACACACACACACAACACACACACACACGAACACACACGCAGGGACGGCACAGCTGTGCAAAGAGCATGCTAATGGGGGACGTGCAGTGAATGCTAATGAGCTTCCCACACACACCCGTGACATGCATGTGCGCGTTGCGGTACACGAAGGGACGTTAACCCCCGCTCGCTCACAGGATTGGACGGAGGGCTCACCCCACACTCACACACGGCGCCATGAATGGAGGCACAGCTGCGTGTGATTGTGCGCTGTGTAGTACACATGCAGCATGAATGGGAGAGACACGACAGACACACTCAGTCTCACACGTTCGAGATCGAAGGGGTGCGCACACACAAACGGGAAAATGGGCGACGCACACAATTACGCACACGGCTGTTTATAATCACACACGCCGGTCACTCGTTCTATTCCCATCGCACTCCTTCCTGGGAAAAGCCCCGAGGGGCGCCGCGGCCACCAGCAGCCGCTGAACCGGTAGACATGAAAATACGTCGCCGGCGCGCCATGGATCCCTATCCTGTTTATGAAAGCGATCGCATTTTGCAACATTTCGAAGCCACGCAGGACGCCTTCGTCAGGAACGTTACATAATCGTTTTGTAATTCACACCGATGGCGGCACAATGGCGTCTCGGAAGGGTCAATAGGATTCACAAGCCAACCGTGCCGTAAATGGCGCGGTTTACGCATGCTTGGACGATTGCACACATTCACACCTAATTCACACCGAGATTGCTGCCCATTACACACACATACACACTCCGGCACCCGGCTCAGGAGGACCGATCATATCATCGTATCCAACAGGAGCTGACGATCAATACAACATGCAGGAAACAGACCCTCCGACCATGTAACAATGTAACAATGATCTCAGTCTGGATGGAATTGTGTGTTTATCCACCTTATCTACAATGTAACTACCATCCATAAATACAATGTAACAATCTCAATCTGGATGGAACTGTGTGTTTATCCAACCTTATCTACAATGTAACAACCATCCATAAATACAATGTAACAATGATCTCAATCTGGATGGAATTGTGTGTTTATCCAACCTTATCTACAATGTAACAACCATCCATAAATACAATGTAACAGGAATCTCAATCTGGATGGAACTGTGTGTTTATCCAACCTTATCTACAATGTAACAACCATCCATAAATACAATGTAACAGGAATCTCAATCTGGATGGAACTGTGTGTTTATCCAACCTTATCTACAATGTAACAATTATCCATAAATACAATGTAACAATGATCTCAATCTGGATGGAACTGTGTGTTTATCCAACCTTATCTACAATGTAACAACCATCCAATAAATACAATGTAACAATGATCTCAATCTGGATGGAACTGTGTGTTTATCCAACCTTATCTACAATGTAACAACCATCCATAAATACAATGTAACAATGATCTCAATCTGGATGGAACTGTGTGTTTATCCAACCTTATCTACAATGTAACAACCATCCATAAATACAATGTAACAATGATCTCAATCTGGATGGAACTGTGTGTTTATCCAACCTTATCTACTATGTTACAATCGCCCATAAATACAATGTAACAATGATCTCAATCTGGATGGAACTGTGTGTTTATCCAACCTTATCTACAATGTAACAACCATCCATAAATACAATGTAACAATGATCTCAATCTGGATGGAACTGTGTGTTTATCCAACCTTATCTACAATGTAACAACCATCCATAAATACAATGTAACAATGATCTCAATCTGGATGGAACTGTGTGTTTATCCAACCTTATCTACAATGTTAACAACCATGCCCATAAATACAATGTAACAATGATCTCAATCTGGATGGAACTGTGTGTTTATCCAACCTTATCTACAATGTAACAATCATCCATAAATACAATGTAACAATGATCTCAATCTGGATGGAACTGTGTGTTTATCCAACCTTATCTACAATGTAACAACCATCCATAAATACACTGTAACAATGATCTCAATCTGGATGGAACTGTGTGTTTATCCAACCTTAACTACTATGTTACAATTACCCATAAATACAATGTAACAATGATCTCAATCTGCATGGAACTGTGTGTTTATGCAACCTTACTACAATGTAACAACCATCCATAAATACAATGTAACAATGATTTCAATCTGGATGGAACTGTGTGTTTATCCAACCTTATCTACAATGTAACAACCATCCATAAATATAATGTAACAGGATCTCAGTCTGGATGGACCTTTTTTCAACCTTATCTACAATGTAACTATGTACAGTACAGTTCTCTGCATTACAAACACTTAGACTGGTCAAACATTATATCATTTTCTTGTACGATTTTCCTTTAGATTTGCCAGAACCATATATCATGAGGTCACGCCTAAACACTTCATTTGTAGGCCATCATGCAGGCCCCTGACACTACATAGCTGAAGGTAAATGTAAAGGAAAGCGAATAAGAATATTGTATAATGTATGGCCAGCTTAACCGAATAGTCGGCTGTTTTGTCTGATAGGATATACTTCTAATACTGGATCAGGAGATATAGATACAATACATAGTGTGTTTACGGTACAGATATGTGGCACATATAGACATTCCATGGGATGGTACAACGTATATAGAAAACAATACAGTGATAATATAAATAATAATAACAAGATATAATAATATTAGTGTCTAAAAAGATCATATAGATATATAGAAACAATATTATCCTGATACATTGTACAAGCATCTGCGTATCATACAGAGCCAGCAACTAAGAAGAGTTATAGATAGATAGATAGATAGATAGATAGATAGATAGATAGATAGATAGATAGATAATAGATTAGATAGATAGATATAGATAGATAGATAGATAGACAGATAATAGATAGATAGATAGATAGATAATAGATAGATAGATAGATAGATAGATAATAGATAATAGATAATAGATAATAGATAATAGATAATAGATAGATAGATAGATAGATAGATAGATAGATAGATATTATAGATAGATAGAATAGATAGATAATAGATAGATAGATAGATAGATAGATAGATAGATAGATAATAATAGATAGATAGATAGATAGATAGATAGATTAGATAGATAGATAGATAGATAGATAGATAGATAGATAGATAATAGATAGATAGATAGATAGATAGATAGATAGATAGATAGATAGATAGATAGATAATAGATAGATAGATAGATAGATAGATAGATAGATAGATAGATAGATAGATAATAGATAGATAGATAGATAGATAGATAGATAGATAGATAGATAGATAGATAGATAATAGATAGATAGAAGATAGATAGATAGATAATAGATAGATAGATAGATAGATAGATAGATAGATAGATAGATAATAGATAGATAGATAGATAATAGATAGATAATAGATAGATAGATAGATAGATAGATAATAGATAGATAGTTATATAGATAGATAGATAGATAGATAGATAGATAGATAGATAGATAGATAGATAGATAATAGATAGATAATAGATAGATAGATAGATAGATAGATAATAGATAGATAGATAGATAGATAGATAGATAGATAGATAGATAGATAGATAGATAGATAGATAGATAGATAGATAGATAGATAGAAATAGAATCAATGTATAGACAGACAGATATAAGTCATTCCTCCATTCCTGCATTATATAGGGATATAGTATATACAGTATATACAGCATGTAGCCAGTCCCACTATAGAAACATCCATTTAGCAGTAATACATTGACAGTACATAGCACAAATGTATAACAAACAGGGACGTACAGTATATACATCAGGCATCTGTATATACATACATAGTAAAGTCCTGACATATAGAATGTATAGATTCAGTCTACAGTCTATGTATCTATTTGAGAATACAGCCGGTTCCACTACAGAAATATCCATCTTCAGTAATACCGTGGCTAGTACAAAATAAACGTCTAATATACAGACATGTATGGATCCATATATACAGGTATACAGTATAGTCCCGATGTATAGGATGTTCAGAGTCAATCTACAGACGATAACATTGTACCTACATGAAGAACCCCAAGCATGTAGCCTGTCCCAGGAGGAATATCCACCTTTTAGAGACTAGTACAATGTATATATTTATAATATCCAGGTATGTATCCATATATACAGATAGAGAACAGTCCTGCTGTATAGGATGTATAGATTCAATCTACACACCATACTAGATGAAGGACTCCAAGCACGCAGCCAGCCAGAAGGAAATATCTGACTTTTAGTGATAGTACAACCTATGTATAATATACTGACATGTATTTATCCATATATAGTACAGCCCTAATGTCAGTATATAGGATATATATCAGACGTCTATGATATGAGCACCAAGAACAAAGCCAGTTCTACCAAAGAAATCTCTATCTTTCAGTAATACAATGATGAGTACAATATTTATGTATAATATCCAGGCATGTATGTATCCATATATATATACAGATACATTATAGTCCTGATCAGGGGCAGACTGACAACTCATGGGGCCCCCAG